CGCAGGGAAATAACATCGCGCGGCGTGACGGTGCAATAAAAATATATATCGCCTGGGTATCGCTAGACTTGAACGAAGATGGCAATTGTTAATGCCGTTATCGGTATCGTTCCTTGACACAGTATATTTTTAAGACGTCGAGAGTGGTTAGACTAGGTTGTATCAGCGGCGGGAAACAGGCGAAAAAGCGTGTTCCTTTCTGCTTGATAACGACGAAATCGTCCAAGGGTACGGTGCGAGCTCTGCTGGTTGTGTGTGCCGTGTATGACGAATCGGTGGACACGCGACGTAGCCAGCCGTCGTCGCGTCGGCTCCCACCGTCGTCGGTGTCCGTCCAATACCGAAGTGAAAAGTGACGCTAGTCACCAGCCTCTTGAAGCGAGTGGTGACGCCCCGCGCTGGGTCAGCCTCTCGCGCCACCAACTTAAATACTCGCTCTGTAGTTATGTTTACGCTGCGTTCGCGATCGAATGCCTATCTTACGTATCCGCGCGATGTGTCGCGGATAGTGTAGACACTAGCCGAGAGCATAATGTGTTCACAGAGGAGAAATCGTCGCGCTTCGCTCGTTGTACTCCAATAAAAACACAGTAATCCCTTAATCCCGATGTAACGGGCATCTCTCTCACCCTTTATGTGATAAATTTCTTTCCTCTTTCCTTTTTTCAACCATCGATCATGCGGTTGTGAAGTGTTGAATTGTAAGTTGGTTTCAAACTCGCTGGTTCGAAGATGTGCAGTGAACAACAATGTGTCGAACGTTGTGTGTCGCTCGACGATAGAGATACGTTTGAATATATTGCAGCGGCGAACAAACGGATGCCAAGGATCGTTCGCGATCTAAGCTAGTCGATAATTGCCATCCTCGTCTCTCTCTTTTCGTTCATCGCGAGCCATTGTTGGATTATCTCTGCGAGGAAAGGGGGACACGCAGCGTGTGTGTTGGTGTGTTTATACCTCGACGCGATTTAATATGCACCAGCGGGAGGTAGATTGAATACATACCCGGGGAAGATTGTTGTGAAAGAGAGAAAGGAACATCTGGTAACGTAAAGGTGCTAAAGAGCTGGTTACCACCACCAGATAAAGTACACTCACGTTCTCGAAACATGCACTCCTACACGTATTGTGCCGTTTACTGTACCTTGAAAATTCTCGAGATATAGTACCGGTTTATATATATATATATATATGTTCGTTTGAGGCGAAACTACCGAGATCGATCGAGAGGAGAAGGATACATACAACCAGGGACGATTTTCAAACGTCGAACGATCGAAAGCATCGGTCTTCGAGTTAGGCTCTTGCCGAGCTTAAATGGCGACGATGGGTGTTATCGTATACATACCACGTAGGTAATTTTTTCCTCGAAAATTGGTAACATTAAAATTGCGTGCATTTTGCGTTTCGACATATCGGCGATTGACAAATACATATATATATATTTCTTTTTAGTTTCTTGCTTCAGTTTAGTCGTATCGATGAACCACACAAATCACATAAATTTCATCACGAGCTCTGTTCACACGTGCATCTAGAAAAACGTAAACGATATTCGTGATCGGTCGATTTTGTCGTCAGAGAAACGTAATATGCGCGAGCTTTGGAATTCGTACATATATATAGTTAGGTATGTACACGGTTCACAATGTGCAGAGTATATCACGTGTTTGATATGCCATCGACCTACATGTACCGTGGATTAACTCTGTGGCCAGCATTGAATCTATCGAACTCGAACAGCTCGTTCCGATATTAACCGATAGTTTAAAGACTGGAATTACGAGTCGCTGTAACGAAGAATGACGTTATATAATATAACGTATTGCTCATTTCACAAATTCCAGTAAAAGGTAAATTCGAAAGTCTGTGATAGAGCCTTATCGCTGGAATTGGAAAAAGAATGCTGAGTCACGACGGTTCAACGATTTGCTCTCTGCGTTTGCTTGTAATTTTTTTTTTTTCCTTTTCTTCTCTCTTGTGTCCCCTTCGCATTTATTCATCGGACTGGATAATCCGTTATCGAATATACTCGAGCGAAAAAAGAAAAAAAGAAAAAGAATGAAGTCACGTGGCAAACGTGTTATGCAGCGAGCGTGCCATTAATAATTTCAAATGTTAAATCGTATGAAAAAAAGTTCAACTGAATGATAATGATAATGATAATGAATTGTTATTCCTCGCACTACAATTTGCGCAATTGTTTCTGATAAACGAACATGTGTGTCGTGCATCGGACAGTTCA